ACAAATCATTCTTAAATTCACAGCAAAAAAAGCATATACTGACCCGATCCAATCCTTCAGGAAGGGGATCAACAACAAAAGTAGGAATCTCCTCCATCAAATTATCGGGTTTACCCGAATGCAAAACCCGGGTAAACCCACCCATATCTGATCCAGCCCGATCCTTCATTTTCTTATACCAATAATACATGATCCTACACTGCCACTTACTGTACTGCGCGTCGGTCGCCGTCAATGCCACGTGGAATTTCCGCCCGCTGGCTTTTAAACCCGACAGACCCGATTTCGGAACCGGGTCGAACTCTTCGGTACTGTTACTTCTACCGACTCTGTTGGAAATTATCATTGTGACTAAATTGTACGTTGCAAAGAAGAAACCTAATGCGAGTAACACCAGTAACAATGGGGAAACCCGACCCATGTTGTTCTTTCTTGGTATCATTTTGTGATTCGGATCATACAAATGTGGGTTATGATTTTGAAAATGGGTGTTGAAGAGAAGAGAAGAAGAGAGTAAAGGGAATTTTTGAAAGATTTTTGCAAAGCTCTAGAAGTTGAAGACTTGTACTATGAGGAAGGTATGTGCTTTTTGTTTGTTCTGTTCATTGTCAAAATTGGAGGTTTAATATATATAGTGTAGGCTAGTTTTGTTTTTGGCAAGTTACACACACACACACACACATATATATATATATATATATATATATATATATATATATATATATTTTATCGATTATTATTTTTGGGAGAAGTTATACTATAATTATTTTGGGATTGTTATAAAAATAACCCGTCAGATTTATTGTTTATTTTTTCTAGCTGGTATATATGAATTTTACATATATTATACATCTATCGGCTATTTTTAGTTTAAGAAATTAGGTAATTGGCTATTTAGATTAATTCTTTTCATGGGTTCCTTTTTTTAATTTTTTTTTAATTGAATTCACGTGAATATTGGGTGTATATGTCATTAACTTTCTATATCATGTGTACAAACATCATTTCTTTCTATAATATTTCATTTTTCTCTTCCTTTTTAATATGAGATTTGCTTGGTATGTCATGTGCATGTTTCTTCAGAAGCTTACCAGCCTAAAAGCCTGCAATTTATTGTGTCACGACATTATACCTATTTATATTATCTATACTATTGTTAGTTTGACTCGTTTCAATTCAACATTTTTTTAATTTAAACTAAACAAAATATAATCGATTTTTATAGTTTTAATAAAATCAAGTAAAGTCAATTCACAACTTGATTTGTTTTTGTACATTTGACCTTTCAACTTTTCTTGCACACATGACACACCTAAAAGTCTAACTCTAGTCACTATTGATTTCCTTTCTTCCCTTTTTCCCTTTTCCAACTCATACTTCATGTTAATGTTTAGTGGGAAGATATTATTTTAGAGAAGATAATTTAGTGGTGTTTGGATTTATTTGCGCATATATCAACTATAGTCAAACCTCTCTATAATAGTCGCGTTTGTTTCGATTTTTTTTGAATACTATAGTGAAGTGTTATTATAGATGACAAATATTATAGCATAACATTAAAATAGATTTTGAAAAAAACTTGATTTTTATAATGAATGATTATTATACAGGAATGTTATAGGGACATCTGACTGTATATTATCGAGTATTTACTAGTATCTCTTTAATACACCTCATCAAGGATTAATTTAAAGTAGATTGAAAGAAATCGCTTGCCTTTTTTCTACTCGGATTTGAATACTAACCATACTACATTTATTGAGAAGAAATGTTTGAATTTTACTTTTAGTTTTATGCCTATGTTATTTTAGATTGGCCCTACTTTGGCTACATTCATAGGTGCTATATTTAGAGAAGAAAATTTGATGTATAATTTTAGTCGTATCCCTAATTTATGCACAAATTGTTTTAGATTGGTCCTGCTCTTGCTATATCCTTGGGTGTTATTATAGACAAGAGGATTTTGAAATGATATAGTTTTAATTTTTACCCTAATTGAGGCACATATTATTTTAAATTAATCTTGCTCTTTTGGGTTTTACTTTTTGAGTTTAAGTTTTTATGCATTAACAGTATATAAAAAACTTATATAATTAAAGTATGAATAATTTAATGAACTTACATTCTTGAAAATTGGAAAAAAAATATTATAAATAATGTCAATGGAGAGAATATTTTTTTATATAATTAGACTACCATCTCCCACACAACCTAGCCACCTTATTTGTTTTTTTTTTTTTTTACATAAAGTATCACATAGTGTTCACAAAGTCTAAATTTGGGGCCAAAAAGTAATGATTTTATGATTATTTAAAGCAATTGGAAGCCAGTGTTTTTTTTAATATACCTAAGAGCAGAAATATGAATAAGAGAGAGTGTCAAATTTTGTACTATATTTTAAAGGCTTTTTATTCAAGAAGTTAAATGATTACCTTATAATGGGATTTTATTGCAAGCATATTAAAATTGCCTTATATACAAAGGATTTTGTTACAGATATATTAAAATAATTGCCTTATTTGATAAGCATCTACATATTGAATCATGTTTTAAATAGGTAATAGCAAAAAGAATTAATAATCTATCAATACTTTCTAACAACTAGAAAGGAAAGGAGATCAGACAATGAGATTAATATTTGTTTACAATTATGATCCATCATTTTGTAATATACAGTAAATTATAGTAGAACACAAAATTTGAATTATTCTTGGTTAAATATTGAATCCATATTCAGACCTATCTTTAACAACATTCCTACATAATAGTCATTCATTATAGAAGTAGTTTATCTCGGAACCAAATATTATATTATATTATAATATATGTCCTCTATAACAGTACTTCACTATAGCAGCCAAAAAAATTCGGAACAAAAAGTTTGACTGTATTAGCATTACACGCAAAGACGTTAAAGGGATTCATCATCTATAATATATACGAAAATAATAATAAATTTTGAGATCTTATATACAATGTAATTTTTTGAATGAACCCCCTTCCTCCTAGCTTCGCCCATGATTACACGTACTGTTTACATAGAAGGTGGTGGAGTAATTTAAAAAAGAAAAAAGGATATGTAAACCTACACATTACATTAATTGGGGAAAAAAAAAATTACATCGTCAATGAATATATCGTCAAAGAATATTAAATTCTCAATTAGGTGAGCGTGGAAAATATATATATATATATATATATATATATATATATATATATATATAGAGGTTAAGCAAGTCTAACAACTGAGTTTGGTTTTTTTGTATCATAGGAGGAACTAATAATATACTATACTATAATGGCAAATTGATTGTTTCATATGCTACAAAGAGATAGTTTTACCTCTTCACTCCCTTATTGTTATCGTCTAATTAATTCATATAAAAAGGTATTATCACTTTTAGCTCACGCCAGAAACTATTTACATCTGGTAGCTGAAAAGTGTATAAAATTTATATATTTTGTATATATATATATATATATATATACAAAAAATATACAAATTTTATGTATTTTTTCGACTATTTTTTTACGGCGGCTATACAATGTCATTTTTCATATAAAAAAAATACTTTCATTAATAATCTCATTACCACAATCTAATTAAGATGTTTCCAATTTTGGTTAGTTTACTTCTTTACCTAGTTATTGTTTACCACAATCTAGTTATTTCACGTAAATGCTCGTTCACATTCCAGTATTCCTTTTCCTCTCGGATTTGATATCTTTTGATAGTAAATATCTGAATATTTTGTTGGCCCAGAAAAATAGCGAACTAGCCCAAAAACAAGGCCCAACTAGGGTGGCAAACGGGCGGGCTGCTTCGGATATGAGACGGGTTGAAAGCGGTAATGAAAAATAGATAAATTATCCGACTCGACCCATATTTAATACGGATAAAATTAACCGGCGGATAATATGAGTAACCATATTATCCATGACTTCTTGAATATGATCACTTTTAGGAGAATTCCTAGCCTCCCAAACTTGAGGAACACCCGCTTGAGGTTTTTACAAATATAAAAGTTAAACTCATTATGTATCCATTGTTTTATAATTTTTGAACTTCAGGACACGATGATTTGAAGTTTGAACTTTGAGTTTTAAACTTCAGGACGTCGTGTCCTGAAGTTTGAGCAAAATTGCCTAATCTTTAAATATATTGTAAACTGTGGATATATTTTAAACAGCATGTTTAAAATTGGCTACCTGGTGTCATTTCCACAAAAATAGCGACCTAGCCCAAAAGCAAGGCTCAACTATAGTATTGTTCGGGCGAAGTGCACAAATCACTTTTAAGTCTGCTATTTAAAATATATCCATGATTTATAATATATTTAAAGATTAGCCAATCCACCCAAATTTCATGACTAGGTATCCAAAATATTTTTATCCTTAATTTTTGAGCTGCTAATTCGGAATTCAGGACTTAGTGTCCTACTAATTTGAAATTCAAGACTTAGTATCCTAAATTTCTGAACTGCTAATTTTAAATTCAAGACGTAAGATTCGAATTTTTAGATATAATTTTCCAACTTTCATGTCTTGAAGTTTGAACTATGAGGACTAAGCTTCAGGACGTCGTGTCCTGAAGTTTGAGCGAATTAGCTAATCTATAAATACATAATAAATTGTGAATATATTTTAACAACATGCTTAAAAGTGGCTACTTGGTGTTATTTCCACCTATTATTCATATTTCGTATTATTAAGAAAGAAGATTCGGGCAAGATATGCACCTTTTCAGGAATTACAAAATCGGAATACTTTCATTTGGTATTTTGGCCTAATTTTGTTGACTACTCGCTCGATCGAATTCTTTGTTTTATAGTTTAATTCATCACTATAGTTCCATATTTAATAATGTTCGAACTCTTTCTTCTGCATCAATGTCAAGACTCCTGTTTTTACCAGAAAATACTTGCTACAAACATAATCCAATTACCATTTAGGAACTATTGCAAGAAAAAATTCTTCAAAATCTAATAAAACACTTAACCTTAAAAAAATTGTGGGATTATGGCTAATGGAAACAATTCTCACATGGAAATAAGTTACTTTTTGTCATGTCACTCTCTTTGTCACACTAAACACAACATAAAAAGATGAATATTAGATGACCAAAATAAAAAAAGCAGCCCGGTGTACTAAATTCCCGCTATGCGCGGGATCCGGAAAAGGGCCGGACCGCAAGGGTCTCTTATACGCAACCTTACCTGCATTTTTGCCAGAGGCTGTTTCCACGGCTCGAACTTGTGGCCTCCTGGTCACATGGCAGCAATCTTACCGGTTGCGCCAAAGCTCCCCTTCAATTAGATGGCAAAAATACTGTTTAAAAACCAGATTTTGAATACCATGATCAAACATAGACAGTTCAAAAGAAGGCTCTGCTACCATAAAAAACTCTTGAATTCTCTTTCCTCTTATTGTTATTCATATCTGATGAACTTCCATGATTATGAATCACATGATCTTTCTGATCATCAAGATCAGCTCCTGATTTATCCAAATCCATAGGCAGCTTCATTTTTGCTAATGATTCAGTAAATTTGGAATTCATGACTAAGTGTCCTGAATTTCTGAACTGCTAATTTTAAATTCAAGACATAAGATATGAATTTGTGGATATAATTTTCGAACATAGGACACGATATCCTGAAGTTTGAACTTTGAGGTTTAAACTTCAGGACGCCGTGTCCTGAAGTTTGAGCGAACTGACTCATCTTTAAATAAATTGTAAATTGTGAATATATTTTAACCAGCATATTACCATTTAGGAACTATTTCAAGAAAAAATTCTTCAAAATCTCATAAAACACTTAACCAGATTATGGCTAATGGGAACAATTCTCATATGAGAATAACTTAGGTTACTTTTGTCATGTCACTCTTAGTCACACTAAGCACAACATAAAAAGATGAATATTAGATGACCAAAATAAAAAAGGCAGCCCGATGTAGTAAGCTCCTGCTATGCGCGGGGTTCGGGGAAGGACCGGACCACAATGGTTGCAAGAGGCTGTGTCCATGACTCGAACCCGTAACCTCTTAGTCGCATGACAACAAACTTACCAGTTACGCCAAAGCTCCCCTTCAATTAGATGACCAAAATACTGTTTAAAAACCAGATTTTGAATACCATGATCAAACATAGACAGTTCAAAAGAAAGCTCTGCTACCATAAAACACTCTTGAATTCTCTTTCCTCTTATTGTTATTCATATCTGATGAACTTCCATGATTCTGAATCACATGATCTTTCTGATCATCAAGATCAGCTCCTGATTTATCCAAATCCAATGGCAGCTTCATTTTTGCTAATGATTCAGTAAATTGCTGCATACTTCTCATGTACATATCCACTATTTGCTGCTGCATAGCTGATTGTTCTGCATCAATCTTGATTATATTCCCTAATGGAGCTGAAAATACCACATGGGGTTCTTTCCTTTCTTCGTTTTCGTTCTTAATTGAGTCCTTTTTATCGATCATGTTATCGATCTTTTTATCTGGTGATGAGCCTACTGAGTTCCTGTCATCACTTAGTGTACTTGTTAATGAGGAGCTAAGAAACCAAGAATTGTGAATACTTTCTTTTGGAGAAATATTTGAGTCATGATCATCAGCAATTTCATCATCATCTTCTTCTTCTGATGGATTAATTGCAGCCATTTCGTAGTCATGATTCTCGGGCTGCTGCTGCTGTTGTTGATCATTATGATGACTGTGAAATGATGCAGAAAGTTGGAGAAATGAACCACCTAAGTCAAAATATTGAGACACCATTTCTTGATTCTCTTTAACTAAGTTGATCTCAGGAAACTCAATTCTTGAATACTCGATCGGATCAAGAACAAGTTGAGATGTATTTCTGTCTAGTAATACAACTTCTGAACTTATAGAAGAAGAAGATGATGGTGAACAAGAAGGATTATTTGATACTGAAATGGGGTTGTTGGTATTCAAGAAAAGTGACAATTTAACAGTACCAGCAGGAGAATGAAACAAATCAGTAGAAGAAAGACTAAAATCTTGAGTGAATTTTCCTTTACCAATAACTGAAGAAATAGGTACTAAAGCAAATCCTAAGAGTTGATCTTCCATTAGTGTTTTGGCTCTACTAAGCATCCATATCTCACATTTGAGAATCGAGTCGATTTGGGATACTTTCATGGCTAAATCTTCATTGAAATCTGGATTTTTGCCACCACCATTTATGATCCTTGTTGATATGGCTTCATCAGGATTGTATGTAAGTGAAAATTTGGCATAAACATCTTGGTTGTCATAGATACAAATGTTGTGAATATTCCTAGCATTGTGGACATGAATTTCAAGAATACCAGAGAATTCAGATTCTGAATCTGTACTTATATTTGGATTGTATAGAAAACTTGTTGATGTTTGCTTGAAAGAGCCCATAAAAGGAAAATCAAGAATCTAGTTCTTTCAAATCAAGAAATGGAATAGGGGGTAGGCTGATGTCTTGTGTGCTAATTTGCTATAGCTAGAACAAAATGAAAGATCAAAAATACACATGTGGTGTTGCTTTATTTGGTTCTTTTGGAGGTTTGGGAGGCAAGAACAAGCTAAAAAATATTTTTGTGTTAGTACATATAACATATTACTTGAAGTGCAAACATAGCATTGGAGGTTTAGAACATTTCTTTCTTGTTTCTTTAAGGGGTGGGAGGACAAGGATAAGAGTGATTTACAATTGAACTAGAGAAGTTTCTATTGGAATTGTGTAGGTGGAAAGAAGTGAGTAGGTACTAATATAGTGTGGAAAGGGCAGAAAAAGAAAGTGCTTAACTTCTATGCACTTATCGCGTAAATTTCTATATACTATCAGGTCACTAAAAGATAACTGCGAGTAATAATTCATAAAACATAAAACTAGTAGTAACAAGGAAAATAAGGTAGGTTAATTATTTTAACGGATAAAATTACACTCTTTATATTGTTAATGTACATAAATTAAATTCAAAAAGAATTACTAGAAGGGAAGAGTGAGCAAGATGAGAGGAAGGGTTTGTTTTTAAGTATAACAACTAATCATGAACCAACAAAGGGTTGTGGTGGAGTGGTAAGTACTCCTTCATCCTTAACTAGAGGTCTCGGGTTCGAGTCCTGGAAATGGACTCGCCTTTGTTAGGGAGCGCATGTGGGTACCGGACACCGAGTGGAAAACAAAAAAAAAACTAACCATGAGATTTATTTTGACTTAACTTCTTGTTGGTTTGATTGCCTAACAACATTTTAGAGTGAAGATCTTTCTCAAAAATATTTTTATCAATTTTGCACTTTGAAAAAGGGGAAGAATTTTCTAAAAGGAGAATGATGATAATGATGATGAAATGAGAATGAGGACTAATTTTTCTTCCTCCACTTTAAAATGTTTTCTCTAGCTTTTGTGGAGTGGGTGAAAGATAGAGAGATATTTGGTTGAATGTGGGGTTTTGCTTTGCTTGGCATTGCAGCTTCCTTCATTTGCTATCACTACCTATTGAAAATGGAGGTCCTACCATCTCCATTTCATCATTCTTGACTCTTATTCAAAGATTCTCTTCAAAGCCTCAATAGATTTTGTCATGTGTTACAATAGCTTTACCTACTATTTTAAGGAGTCTTGAAATAGTTTACTAAGATTTATTGGTTTAGTTAAGAAAATATGTGATTAAGACTTTAAGGGTCGTTTGGTTGGAAAATATGTTATCCCATAATTAATTATCCCAGGATTAGTTATTTCGGAATTGTTATCCCACCCTCCTGTAGGGGATAAAAATAACACTTCAATTCTGAAATAACTAATCCCGAGATTAGTTATACCATGATTTTATCAACTAAACGTGAGATAAACTCATCTCAAATTTAATCGGTTGATACATGTGGAGGGTTTAGATTTGTTTACACAGATTTCAGGGTTGATCAAGTGGCTAGGAGTTGTCAGTCTCATCCATTTCACTTTATATATCCATCTACTAACTACTAGCAATCATCATAGTGAGTAAATCATGGACATGCAAGATTTACTCCGTGAAAATCAGTGAGAGGAAGGTTGAATTCTTAGTGCTGAATCTTGTTAGATCTGATGTGATGAGTAAAGGCGTTTGAACAAAGAGAAAAGATTAAAGATGTTGAACTAAACTAAAGTGGCAGCCATGTGTACAAAACATCCCGCGTTCACGCAAGTCCGGAAAAAGACCGCACCCCAAGGGTATATAGACAACCTACCCTATTGCAAGCACTCTGGCTCGAACCCTTGACCTATAGGTCACACTAAGACGACTTTACTATTGCTCCAAGCCTCCTCTTCTAGTTGAACTAAACTAAAATCCATAAATAATTTGAATGATCCATCATGGAAAATGGCACTATGGGAATATTCAATTAGAATCTGCCCAAAACGGGAAAATGTGTGGATAAAAAGGCCACTCACTTCACAGAAATTAGTACTGCCATTATTAAAAATGAAACAAATGGAACATATTTACAAGTCTTTTTGAATCCTCCATCCAATGCTATCTGAAGCAGATAAGAGAATTGAAAAAGATTACTAAATGTCAAGAATCTAAAGACAACTATGAAATTCACCTAACAATGTACATTTATTGGGGAAAACAAGGAGTTTTCTTTCCCCTTTGTCAAGGATTATAAATATCTGGAAATAACAACAGGGACATGAACATAGTCTATCCCATTATACCAGTAAATCCAGCATATTGACTATGTCAATTATTTTACAAACATGAGAAGGAAAATACTGTACACGGGTGCGCGATTCATGAAGTGAAGATCTTTAGGGTTGTTGGGAGCACAACTCACTTCCGACCCATCCTAACCAAACGCTGCTGGTGCTTCTCAGCAGCCGCCTTATCAGCAGCTTCACGCTTCAGTGCCCTCTTTGCACGCCGGCCAACCAGTTCTTTAGGAACAGCATCCTCCTTCTTCTTCGGCTCACGAGAGGGACCAGCACCGGATTCCTGAGAGTTTGGTCGATAAACAGGCCTTGCTTCTTGCCTTCCTGCACTAACATATCCGTTGTCACCCCATCGTCTATTGCCTATACGGAGTCTCGATGAACTACTAACGAAATAATCTTCTGCTAAATCTTCTTCTTCTTCATAATTATACATGTATAAGTCATCCATATCATCATCAACCTCCACCCTTTCCTCCACAATCAAAGGTTTAAACCATGATGCCCTAAGGAGAAGGCAAACGCTCTCCTCAAACATGTAGTCCTGTAGGCTGTTAAAATGGACGGATTAATAATTATTACTCATGAGGATTGAAGTCACCAGCTGCAACTAAGGAATTAAAAGTCCACTAAATTAAAGTAGTACAAATGGCAAACACAGAAACAACAACGTGCTATGTCAATATGTCAAAGCAAAAAAGGGAACTGTGAAAAATTTTGGTCTCCAGATAATTATAACTAATAGGGAGAAAACAGAAATAACAATGCATTAGAACATGCAAAGGAAAAAATTAGACATGTTATTGGTCTCCAATACAACCTAAAAGCACTTTTTTCTTATTTGATTAATACAACCTATTAAGTATTCATATCAACTGTGAAGAATAGCTAATATCATGACAACAATCTTCTTATTAATTAGGGAATGTTGAAATTACTTCAGGTACTTCAAGCTTGGCTCATCTTAACGTTTTTAGGTGTGTTATGCAGGGCAAAGGGACAAGATTATTTGGGACACCATTCTGAAACACGAAGAGATTCATGAGACACTATAAGTGCGTAGATATCTGATAGTTACTGGACTTGGTAAACCAAGTACAGGAAGATTCTCTAGAGATCAACTTGTTCTCGCATATTTAAAATAATAGGAACATGCTATGAAATCCAGCAGTCATCTAAACCTCTCTAGATTAAACTCTTGATATGCTCCACAAAACTTCACCTCCCTCCCTCCCTCTAGAGATTTCACCATGACCCTCACCAAAGCAAAGAAATGGCGATTCATATTGCACAACTTTAAAGGTCCAGTGGCCCCCAAGGACCCAGCCTTCTAGCCATTGAAGAGTTGGAGGACAATGTTGGGAACCAAGATTAGACACTATCAATTCTTCCCATCAGCCTAAATCTTGGCGGGCATAGAATCTGGTGTCTGCTAATCGGGAGATAGCAAGCAGGGATAACTACAAGAACAACAACAACTACCCAGTAAAATCCCACCAAGCAGGGATAACACCGGGGAAAAAATTCAAATTTAAAGGTGAAGTTACCAAAGGCAATTGCTCTGCACAAAAGATTAATTGGAAACTTAAATCAATAAGTTACTCGAGCAGATAAGACAATGGCATGTTAGTGCAGATAACACAGAGAGCGAGTTATTAGCATCATGATGTATCACAATATTTAAAGAAAAGAAAATTTACTCAAAACTGATTAGTTACCTTCCATCAAGTGCGCGATGGATGTAGACAAACTCAAATGGATGCTTACACTGAGGGCATGTTGGTTCCTTTTTATAGGTTGCCCATCGAAGAATACAAGTCACACTGAACACCAAAAGGAGAAATATATTATCATCATAACATTTTCTGAAATTACAAAGAATTGACATGCAAAGCACACAATTTTACAAATTAATGCAAACCTTCGAATTTCGAAAATCAATACGCCTTTAAAAAGATGGGTTTCATAGTAATAAAGTCCGGTCAGAAATAAACATATATGAAGCAGCAGCACGACAGTCACAAAATCACAATATTTTAAATCAGGCACACACTGATTAGTGAACCATGCAACACAAGACCCTCTCATAAACAGAAGCCGGCACACATTTCACAATATCCAAAGAGAAGTATCTATATAACCACAGGGACAGAAATTTTGGGCGGCAAATAGGGTAGGATGCCTTTTAAGAAACCAATAACAGAGACCACCATAGGACATAGCTTGTATTTATGGCCGAGGACTAAGTTAAAAAAACTACACGCCAAGCATTACTTCTGCCCCACCCAAAACATACAGTAGCCGATGCAGAAGTAAATCTTTTTCATATTTTCCTTACCTCACCACCGCACATCTGTCTCCATGAAAATTTGGATTCAAAAAATTTAAGAATGTCACTGCAGTAACCAGGCCAAGAAAATGTAAGAAAAGTCTCTTTTCCTTCTCTTTTCCCATCTCACAATTAAAAGAGTGGCTAAGCAGAATGTACCCCTGACATATATGATTGTCTCCATGAAAGTTTGGATTCAAAAAATATAAGAATGCCATTGCACCAGACCAAAAATTGCAAGAAAAGTCTCTTTTCCTTCGCTTTCCCCGCCTCGCAATTGAAAAGAGCTGCTAAGCAGAATCAGTACCCCTGACATATTTGATTCTCCCCTTCACTATTAACCTCCATTTACTGCCATTTTGATCTTCATTACAACAAAAAAATTGTAACATCATCTCAGTGGATAGGGGTAAGGGTAAGGTCTGCGTACACACTACCCTCCCCAAACCCTACTAGTGGGATTTTACTGGGTCGTTGTTGTTGTTGTTGTTGTTTTATCTTAGTGGATAATTAGGTGCAAAACCAAATTGCTGTGATATGTTTATCTAAAACAGGAATGAACAGAACGGAATCAAGTGCCTGCTGATCAAATGGCAGTACACAGACAAAAGAGAATAGTTGGTTAGACAAACCAGTATGCATGCTCGCAACCTTTTACCAGGGCAGTTTCTTCAAGCACTATCTTATTCAAACAAATAGCACAAATCCCATGATGGTTATTCTCGCACCCAACTCGGTCTGTTTCCTCAGCTGTGATCTTCATTTTGGTCTGAAAGGAAATCGCATATCAATCAATGGAACCCATATATACTGAATCCCAATATCGCATCTAAATTCCACCCAGGCAAGAATAAGATAGAAATAGAAAATTCCGAGCTATTGTAAATTCATAAAGCAAGAGATATAGTTTGTTTAGTATGCCCAAATAGAAAGGCTATATAGTCTAGTAGACAGTTACTTATCATAATGCATTGCCATTCAAAGTAACTGATTTTCAGCATTTCTCTGCACAGAATTACTACTCCCTTCCATTAAAAGCTGTCCAGAAAAAAGGCCTACTTTATGATAACAAGGAAGTAGCATATACAAGAATATTCGGGAACCACGACAAGAAGAAACTAGCAAATCAACTAAAAGACAAAAGTTCCAACTCTTATCAAATCTCATAATCACCTTGCCATAACTAACACCCTCATCAAACACCAGATGAATAGCGTCAACTCAAGATATTCTAACAATCCCCGCTTCTCTCAAAGCTCATGAAAATTTACAACAGCAAGCATCAATTATCATAAAAAAACTACCCCATCACACAAATCTTCAATCAACTACGTTGATCCTCCCCCCAGGGATTTGGACTAGTGGTAAGAGCACAATTTGTGATGTGTGGGTTAGGCGCATGTCATTGGTTCAAACCATGTTGCAGACAAAAGCCTAGCATCTAAGTGGAAAGGGGTAGAGGGGTTGGCCTGAGTTTCTAACAGTGCGCCACTGGTCATGAGGGATTTCTCAGTTAAAAAAGAACTACACATTGATCCCAATCTAGTCTAGGATATGTTCCCTTTTCACATCTGAATCCTCTATATCCTTTAGTCAGATACCCATCACACAAATCTTAATTCAGATTAACAACTAAATTTCTAATAATCTAACACTCCAATCTACTAAATCGAAAATCCAATCTTGTTGGAGGAAAAAAATACACAATAGAAACAGGAAAATTAACAGATCAATAAAGAACAGACCCTAATCAAAGGAAACGTGATATTCAATTACTTAAAAATAACTAAAATCATCTCAAGGAAAAACTGAATATTGGATCAGACAAAATATTCAAACAGACCCAGCTAATAATAAAGTAAAAACAGCCCAAAAAACACAATGGGTAAGCTATTACTTCAAAATAATCAATACCCACATAATTATTTCAAATAAAAATTGGATCTTGCAACATAATTAACACTAAAACAAACCAACAAAATCAAAAACTACCAAAAAAAACAAAATCAAAAACTAAAAATACCAAAATAAAATAAAATAGAAACCCAAATTTACCTGAGGTTCAATGGATAGATCCTGAATGTCGTTGACGAGTTGGTGAAATTCAAACTCGGCAACTGTAGCCATAAGGTAAAGTTAGGGTAAGGTTAAAATAGAGAAACGGAGAGATAATTATAAACTCTACCGACTAGTTTCAGTATATATAAAAACGGAGAAAATTACAGGAAAACGGGGGG